ATGATGAGTGACTTATAGAGCGTGGTTTTCGTACGTCGAGAGAGGACTTTACTCCTGAATTGCCTACTCAGTCCAAAGTAGCACTTGTTGGCAAGAGTGATTCTACGTTGGATTTCAATGCTGACATTATTATCGGTGTTAATGCTGGTTCCCAAGTAAACGAAATTCTCTACTTTCTCGAAATTGTAACTGTCAACAGTGACGTGGGTGCCAAGGCGCGAATGTGCTGACTGTTTGTTTGATGACAGGAGATACTTCGTCTTGTCCTCGTTTACCACCAGACCCATGCGCTTTGCTTCCCTATCCAACTTGGAAAAGGCAGAACAGACTTCGCGGTTTTTGTTACCGATGATGTCGATGTCATCGGCATAAGCCAGCAATTGCACGCTCTTGTAGTAAATTTTTCCTGAGCGGTTCAGTTCTGCAGCTCTTATTATCTTCTCCAACATCAGATTAAAGAAGTCACATGAAAGGGAGTCGCCCTGTCTGAAACCCCGTTTTGTGGCGAACGGCTCGGAGAGGTCTTTTCCAATTCTGACGGAGCTGGTGGTATTGCTCAACGTCATTTTACACAGCCGTATGAGTTTTGAGGGGATGCCAAATTCAGACATAGCGGCGTATAGGCAACTCCTTTTAGTGCTGTCAAAAGCGGCTTTAAAGTCGACAAATAGGTGGTGAGGCTGATCCTTTTCTCGCGGGTCTTTTCCAAGATTTGGCGTATTGTGAATACCTGGTCTATGGTGGATTTGCCAGGTCTAAAGCCACACTGATAAGGCCCAATCAGTTCATTGACGGTGGGCTTCAGTCTTTCACACAATACGCTCGATAAGACCTTGTAACCTATGCTTAGAAGGCTGATCCCGCAGTAGTTGGCGCGAATGGCGGGGTCACCTTTCTTGTGGATTGGGCAGAGCACACTTAAATTCCAGTCGTCGGGCATGCGTTCATCTGACCATATTCTGCACAAGAGTTGATGCATGCACCTTATCAACTCCTCGCCGCCGTACTTGAATAGCTCAGCTGGCAGGCTGTCAGCTCCAGCGGCTTTGTTGTTTTTCAGCCGCGTTATTGCTATACGTACCTCGTCATAGTCAGGCGGTGGAACGTCGACTCCGTCATCATCGACTGCGGGCTCGGGTTCTTCTTCTCCACAACTTTCTGTGCTGCTGCCATTTAGTAGGGCGGAAAAGTGTTCCCTCCATAATTTAAGTACGCTCTGGACATCAGTTACTAGGTCGCCATTATTGTTCTTACAGGAGTGCGCCCCGGTCTTTAAACCTTCCGTAAGTCGCCTAACTCTCTGGTAAAATTTTCGGGCATTCCTCCTGTCGGCCAGCATTTCAAGCTCTTCGCACTCACGTATTTCTGCCTCTCTCTTCTTGTTGCGGCAAATACGTCTCGCTTCCCTCTTCAGATCCCTATAGCGGTCCCACATAGCGCGCGTTGCGCCCGATCGCAGCGTGGCCCTGTAGGCGGCATCTTTTTTCCCTGCAGCTTCCTGACACTCCTCATCGTACCAGTTGTTCTTTCGGGCTCGCTGAAATCCGACTACTTCTTCGGCGGCGGTACTTAATGAGCGGGAAATGTGGTTCCACTGCTCGCATATGTCGGTTTGTTGAAGAGTGCTCTCTGAGAGCAGGTGTGAGAGTCGAGTAGCGAAAGCGCTGGCTGTCTGTTGTGATTGCAGCTTTTCGACGTTAAGATTTCCTTGCATATTTGAGCGCACATTTTTTGCTGCACAGAGGCGGGTGCGTATCTTGGCTGCAACAAGATAGTGGTCCGAGTCGATGTTTGGGCCTCGGAGTGTGCGTACGTCTAAAACACTGGAAGCGTGCCTTCCGTCTATCACAACATGATCGATTTGGTTTCTCGATTTTCGATCCGGAGACAGCCAGGTAGCTTGATGGATCTTTTTATGCTTGAACCTAGTACTGCATACTACCATGTTTCGGGCCCCGGCGAAGTCGATCAGCCTCAATCCGTTGTCGGACGTTTCGTCGTGGAGGCTGAATTTTCCGACGGTGGTTCCAAAGATCCCTTCTTTGCCCACCCTGGCATTGATGTCGCCAAGCACGATTTTGATATCATGACGGGGGCAGCGCTCGTACGTGCGCTCCAAGCGCTCATAGAAGAGATCCTTGGATGCCTCATCCTTCTCTTCCGTCGGGGCATGGGCGCAGATGAGCGAAATGTTGAAGAATCTCGCTTTGATGCGGATTGTGGCTAGACGCTCGTCCACCGGGGTGAACGACAGTACTCGGCGACGGAGTCTCTCTCCCACCACAAATCCAACTCCGAATTTGCGCTCCTTTACATGGCAGCTGTAGTAGATGTCGCAAGGCCCCAGACATTCTTTGCCTTGCCCCGTCCAACGCATTTCTTGGATGGCGGTGATGTCAGCTTTTGTCCTTACGAGGACATCAACCAGCCGGGCAGAGGCACCTTCCCCATTAAGGGTCCGGACATTCCAGGTGCATGCCCTCAAATCGTAGTCCTTTAAACATTTGCCGTGGTCGTCATCATAAGGGGGGGTCTCATCCGAGGCTTTGCCTTACTTCTTCACTGGAAGTGGTTTTTACGTGGCGGGTCCCAAGCCCAGCGCACAACCCATTGCTGGGATTATCTGATTTGCCTTAATAAAAATATTCCAGCCATTTTTAAATGTTATTCATATTTTATTTTGTTTATGCTTTAAAATTAATGCTTACAATTGATCATTAGTTAATTCCATTTACATTTACTATGCATATTTTAGCTAATAAATTCTTGCCTTAAACTATTATTTTTGAAAAATGTGACACACACGCACTTATTTTACGAGTATTAATTAAATACATTTGTTTATCTTGTTTTACGAAAAATTTAAATCACATTAATACCACACTCCAACATTTTAATACATACTTTTATACATTACAAAATTTATTTGCATAATTTAAGGCGTTATAACAAACAAACATAATACAATAACAACAGAAACATACATACATACATATGTACAAAACTTGATGGGTTTACGAAATTAGTTAAAATACTAAAAAGTGTGTTTTTGCGGCAAATATCTTCATATGTTTGTAATCACTTAAGTATGTATTAACATATCTACGAATTTTACAACCAGAAGCTTTTGATTCTATTTAATCGCCGCCAAATCTACTTTTTAACTGCTTAAAAATTATAATTTACATCTCATTTAAAAATTAGGAGGGATATCTACAATTACAACACGCCATGTATGTATGTACAAATGAATGTGTAGCATGCTTTTATGCCACCTCCAAGTCCGATGACTCATCCGCATCGCTATTATAACTATTAGGATCCGTTTTAATGTGATGACTCAATTGGCTGGCATAATCCTCGGCGACACACTTTAGATTCGCCACAGCGGCCATTACCGCACCGGTGCCGTTAACAGCGCCTAAGCTTGAGGCGCCAGCCACCCCAGTCGATGTGTTGTTGCCAGCACCACTGCATTGCTCCTCTTGCAATTTACGCAGCCGCTCTTGTTCCTCACGCTTTTGTTTACGCCATTTTGCGCGGCGATTCTTAAACCAAACCTAAAACGACAAAAAACGAGAAAACGCAAA